CTAGAGCCAGAAATTTGGAGTGTGAAGTCAAGTGGGCCTTAGGAAGCATTACTACAAACAAAGCTACTGGAGGTGATGGAATTCCGACTGATCTATTTCAAATTATAAAAGATGATGTTAAACTTCTGTACTCTATATGTGTGCAAATTTGGAAAACTGAGCAGGGGCCACAGGACTGGAAAAGATCAGCTTTCATTCCAATTCCAAAGAAGGGTAATGCCAAAAAATGTTCCAACTACCATACAATTGCACTTATTTAACATTTTAGTAAGGTTATGCTCAAAATCCTCCAACCTAGGCTTCAGCAGTATGTGAAGCCAGAAATTCCAGATGTAGAATCTGGATTTTAAAGAGACAGAGGAACCAGACATTAAATTACCAACATTTGTTGCATAATGAAGAAATCAAGGGAATTCCAGAAAAATATCTCCTTCTGCTTCACTGACTATACTAAACCTTTGACTGTGTGGATCACAATAAACTGGAAATTCTTAAACAGAGGGGAATACCAGACCACCTTAACTGTCTCCTGAGAAACCTATATGCAGGTAAAGGAGCATCAGTTAGAATCAGACATTGAACCTGACTGGTTCAAAATTGGGAAGGGAGTAAGAGAAGGCTGTGTATTGTCACCCTGCTTATTTACCTTATTTGCAGAGTACATCATGTGAAATGCTGGGTTGGATAGAGCACAAGCTGGAATCAAGATTGCCAGGAGAAATATCAATAACTTCAGATATGCAGAGGATACCACCCTTATGGCAGAAAGCAAAGAGGAACTGAAGAGACTCTTGATGAGAGTGAAAGAGGAGAGTGAAAAAGCTGGTTGGAAACCAACATTCAAAAAACTAAGATCATGGTATCCAGTCCCATCACTTCACAGCAAACAGAAGGGGACACATTGGAAGCAGTGACAGATTTTATTTTCTTGGACTCCAAAATCACTGCGGACAGTGACTGCAGCCATAAAATTTAAAAGACTTGCTGTTTGGAAGGAAAGCTATGACAAACCTAGATAGTGTATTAAAAAGCAGAGACATCACTTTTCTGACAAAGGTCTGTATAATCAAAATGAAAGTGAAGGTCACTTAGTTGTGTCTGACTCTTTGTGACCCTATGGACTATACAGTCCATGGAATTCTCCAGGCCAGAATACTGGAGTGGGTAGCCTTTCCCTTCTCCAGGGGATCTTCCCAACCCAGGGAGCAGACTCAGGTCTCCCACATTGCAGGCGGATTCTTTACCAGCTGAGCCACAGGGAAGATTATATATAATCAAAGGTATGGTTTTTCCAGTAGTCATATATTGATGTGAGAGTTGGACCATAAAGTAGGCTGAGTGCTGAAGAATTGATACTTTTGAATTGTGGTGCTAGAGAAGATTATTGAGAGTCCCTTGGACTGCAAGGAGATAAAATCAGCCAATTCAATAAACCCTGAATATTTAATAAATACATTTAATAAATATATTAAGTCAGAACATTCAATAAACCCTGAATATTTTTTGGAAGGACTGAGGCTGAAGCTGAAGCTCCAATACTCTGGCCATGTCATGCAAAGAGCTGACTCATTGGAAAAGGCTCTGATGTTGGGAATGATTGAAGGTAAAAGGAGAACGGGGCATCAGAGGATGAGATGGCTAGATAGCATCATTGACTCATGGACATAAATTTTAATCAATTCCTGGAAACTGTGGAGATCAGAGGAGTCTGACATGCTGTAGTCCATGAACTTGCAAAAAGTCAGTCACGACTTAGTGACTGAACAACAAGAACAAGGTAGATTGCTGTATGTGTCATGAAAGTCAAAAGTGATAGTCATTTGAAGAAAGAACACATCTTATTTGCAGCTCAAGTAGGACTAAGAAAACTAGTTCAGTTCTGAAGTACATAGGTATGCTTGAATGTTTGACTACAATTTTCATGAATCATGAAGTAGCTTCAAACCTAAATCACAAATTAAATACTTCTTTTTCCGGTAAAATAAATATGGTCAAACAGAAAATGACCACAGAATCACAATGTCAAAGGTGAACCTTTCTCAAAATAAATTTGTAATAGCCAAAGAAAGTATCACAAGATATAAAACCAGAACCCCCAATTCTATTCATTCTCCTTATCTCCAATATAATCTTTATCTTCAGTCCGAGATCTTTTAAATATTTCTTTTTCTGCTTGCAATTACATTCTTAATCTAGATTGTATTGATTTTCCCCCATCTCTTGTCTACTTTCTTATTGACTTTCCCACTGCTTCCCATCCCACAAATTTACTTAAATACTGTGTCTAAAGCTATTCTTATGAATCACATAGAGCACATTACTAGTAACTGTAGTGCTTTTCACATAAGGGATAACTTATTTAGCTTTTAGTCTGCAGGCAACATATTAAATGTTCACCTAAATCTACTTAGTCTATTTTCTTCTATATATTTCCTTATCACTTTTTTTAACCATCATCTATACTTATATGTAAAAAATAGCATCCCTATTCTTCACCGATTCCTATGAGTGCTTTAAAACTGCCTTCCGAAAACCTTTACTAGAAGATTGTTTTGGCCATAATCAGAGGAATAATGAAGTAGTTTTACTTCCTAGACAGTTATTATTGCTGATAAGTGTGAAATATCCTAGGCCACCCTCTTCTTTAGTCATTACATAAAAACCAATGCAAATAAAATAACATTTCCTTCTGTTATGGCATATATGATTACTTTTGAATCATTCTGCTGACTACATGAAGATGTGATAGAAATAAGTGAGTTATTTTATGTAAATAATGAAACAGACATTCCAGAGTTGTATGTAACTATTCAGAGTAGGATAGTTGATTGCCGCAGTAAGAAAAGGAAGACCCAAAATCTCAGTGGCTTAACACATAACAGTTTATTTCTCACACTCAAAACATTCACCCCAAGTCCATCAGCTCTTCAGGGCAGGTCCCTTATAGAGACTTAGAGATACAGGTTGCATCCATCTTGTAGGTACACTATTTGGAGCACACTGCTTTCAGGTCCACATGGCAGTGAAAGAGAGCTGGAGGGTCACACAGGACGTTTTACTGCACCAGTACTGAAACAACACATCACTTTTGTTTATAATTTCTCTGTAATCCCTCTGCTAGAAGTAATAAATGGCATTGCCTAACTACAGGGGCTGGGAAGTAAATGCGAGCACATAGATATTTGATAGTTGTTAATGTCTTTGCCACATTCTACAAATAATACATACTTTTTAATATTTTAATAAAAAATAATTTTGGAAAACTCTATATGGAAAAAAAAATCCCTTAAATATAATAGTTTTTATTTGCATATAGATATAGCTATATTTTAAGAAACAGCTACAGTTACGAAGTTTCAGTGTGATCTAACAAGGCATTATATTTATAATTTTCCAAGAATGTTACTGAGAGATTCTGGTGTATGCACTGTAAAAATTTGGGGAGTCAATATGTTACTTATCTACCAGATGTTTTCCATCTTTATAATAATTTTACTTGTGATTCAAGGGAGCTGACATAAAATCAGCTACTTAAAAAAATAGCCATCTATTCTCTCCTCATGCCAAAATACTTTGTACATATGACATTACAATTAGCATGGCATATGTAATGGGTGTTTTTTAGGCATCAATTTATAATATTGCTCTGATATAAAATATGTAAAGCAAAAATAAATTTCAACTTATTTCAGCATAGTGGTAAACATGAATCAGCAACAAACATGAGGCAACAAACTCCAAATCTTAGTAAAATATGAAACAGATTATAATTTCCTAGTTTAACTCCTATTTTAATTCAATATTAATTAATTAATATTTGTTTGCTTAAACAAATTTTTAAACAGCATACTAAGATTTTGGCGGTAGTTTTATGTAACAAGACATACAGTGTATTAAAGGTCTGGCACTCAACTTGCTTACGGTAAACCAGCTTCAATATGAAGGCATTAAATATTTTTTTATAACCTTCTTTTTACATGCTAAATATTTTAGAAAGTATGCAATCAAACACAGTAATGAAATTAATATAGTAAGATTAAGAAATTAAAAACTTGAAACTTGTACCCTAAGCATAAATCATATTAAAAAAGGATTACTGATTATATAGAATGTCCCTGGATAATCAAAACTTAATAGTATAAAACATGCAAAACATTTCAGGATAAAGATTTATTAATAAAAAAATACCAGGGTCTATTTAAAATGATTCTCCTCCAAAGGGTATCAAAGTTAATTCAAATCATGTAACATTCTAACACTAAATATTATTCAGTACTGTTGAATTGGAGGTAAGTTTTATAAAACTGGGGTTTTACATATACTGTAAATTGCTGTCTTTCTTGTTCATGTGAAGCAGCATACGTTACTAAGTAAGAAAAGAATGGATGTTCCACTAGCAAAAATAGGATGTGTAAGTATCAAAGGCACACTATTCAGCTCACCAAAGTGATAGCAAACTCTTTTCCCCCCACAAGCCCTTTCCCCATGTAAACAAAAGTTTATCAAGGAGAAAAGAAAAATAAACTAAATTTTAATCTTCAAATGTAAATATTTTGAGACATTAATGTTAAGTCCATGCTTCAAAAAGGACAACTATTGTTGCCTGGATATTTCTGAATATATTTTAAAGATGTATCCAAATTAGATACTTTCGACATTAGATACATTGTTTGGTCAGAATTATTTATCATTTAAAACATTAATTTAATTCTAAACATTTTAACCACTAGTATGACAACATGATTTTAGCTCTCAGAGAAATTAGCCAGTGGAGGGAAAAACACGTAAACAAAACAAAACCCTACATTTAAGCTGCAGGCAACAATTATGGCCCTTTCTGGCACAGTGGTATTTGACTGGCAACAAAGTCAGGAATAATTCTACTAATACAGGGAAACTCATGCATTTTGGTAAATATGCTCTAACACTCACAGTTGAATTTTCCTATAGACCTTCCTTGCTTTTTTCAACAGGTAAATCTTCCTTTTTTTTTCTTGATACTATCCTGATTTGTGACTTGAACCTGATTTCTTTTTCTTCTTCTTACTATGTTTTTTGTGCTGTTTCTTCTTCTTCTTCTTTGCTTTTTCTTCCTCTTCACATCTTCTCTTCTTTTTTGCTTGCATCTCCTCTTCATAATCTGATTCTGATGAGGACTCCAATGATAAAAGTTTATTCTCAGGACAAGTCTTCTTTCTTTTTTTGCTGAGACTTCTAATACACTTTTCTTTCTCTGTTACATCCTTTGACTTCTTTTTCTTTTTTACAGATTCCTTGCTCTCTGATTCACAATCACATGGAGAGCTTTCTGATGATTTGTATGAATGGTTCTTCTTTTTCTTTCTCTTTTTTCCTTCTTTCTTTTCCTCACCTTCAGAATCTGGAGAATTGCTTGAAGAATCAGTGTTTGATGAAGAAGAAGATGAAGACCGACAAGATTTCTTCTTTTTCTTTTTCTTTCTTTCTCTTTTTTTGGATGAGCTCCCATTTCCACTTAATAATTTCTCTCTGCTTTTTTCTAGTTCCTTCTTCCAGTTCTCATTCATTTTTTCTTCAAATTCAGCTAATGCCTTGGAGCCTTTCTTTTTATTTTCTAATTGTTTTTTCACTTCTTCCCAGGTGGGCCTTGGTCGATTCAGATAATCTTGTATTGTTGGGCCTGCAGATTGAGATGAGCCCCTCCATCTGGCCATTGCTATAGGATTCATATAGGCCACCCGATTGTCCCGCTTCCCCATGGTGCCTGATGGTTCCCAGAGCAGACTCTCAGTTGGTAAAGAGAATAAAAACAGACACCCTCCTGAAATTCTTCATCTGCTGGTATAACAAGCAGGTTCCATTCTGTGAGAGAAGCAGATGGAATGATTACAAAACACCTTTAATATAAGACAAAGTAAGCACATAAGTTTAATTGTTCACTGTTTATCACATAGTATGGTAGAAAGATTTACAAAATCTTAGACCTTGAGAAAATATATACACAAAAGTTTTACATGTTTTAGACATTGTGGTGTAAATATAAAGTGTTTTTCATATCTCATGTAAGGTCTGACTGTTATCTAAATTTTACATAGCTATTTCTTTTTATATTGTATGGTACTTACCTTTTTTCTTTCTTTCAATCTGCCTTATATGGTATGAGAGAGAAATTTCTGTAGCCAAATTCTGTACCAGGCAGACCTTCCTCATTTCAGTAGAGTGCAGCACAACCCATTCCACTCTTTGACAGAAACCTAGGAGTCATGCCTGAAAAATCCTTCTCCCTCAATTCACATATCCAATTCATTAATAAATCTTGCTCTTTAAACCCCCACAACAAGAGGTCTCATGTTTATTCACTTCTCTTCAAATATGCTGTCATCAAAATAGTGCAGGTACTGTCTCCTGTAATTTGGATTATTAATCTCTATTAGATGCCAAAGGCTGCTCAGTGTTGTGCACTGGATCATCTTATTTAGTCTCTAGACTAATCTAGAGGTTAGTCATAGATCAACGTCCTATGAAGTTGATCCTGTCATTATCCTATTATACAAATGAAGAAACTGAAGCTTAGAGAATTTGAGTAACTTGCATAAAGTGACATAATAAATGGCAAATGATAAAACCAGGATTTAAATCAAGGAAGCATGAGGCCAAACCCTGCACACTTAACACAACATTATATTGCCTCTTGACATCAACTTCTTGACAGCCCTATTTTTTGCCCTTATTCTCTTCCCTTTCAGTCCCACGCTGAAATCAGAAGGATTTTAAAATAGTCTAGTGGCTTTATATTTTAATGCTGTTTCTGTATCTGTCCCTTACACTCATTATTCTTTATCAAAGTTTCTTGCCTCTTTTATTCATAGCACTTAGAAAACTGATGATTATTTTCTTTATTGATTTGCATGTGTATTTTTGTGTGTGTGAATGCATGTGTGTGTTCATGTGCATATGCATGTATGTATTCATTTCTAAATATAAGGCCAAGAAGGGTAAAAGTCACATTTGACCTGTCTTCTAGCCATGATGTTTCTAGTACCTTACATGGTACTAAGCCCACACTAAGTGCTCAATAAACATTTGCTCAATAATAAACAAACAAATGAGTGGATTAATGGATGGGTAACTCTATGAGAGAGGTGCATTCAGAGAAGGCTCCTGGAGTTAGTGATGTCAGTACAAGATTTTAAAGAATAAATAGGAGTTCACTGAATAAATGAGGAAATGAAGGACATTCTAAGCAGAAGAAACAATACGTGAAAAAACAAAGAGACTGGAAAGATCACCATGTATTTAGTGTTGAAGGAGCCTAAAGTGAAAGAGAGCAGTAACAGGAGGTGAGGCTGCATAGGAAGTAAATAGCCTGATCATAGAGGCCTTCTTAGGTCATTTTAACATCTTAGATTTTGTCCTATAGTAGGTAGGACTATATGTCCTATGGTAGGAAGCCAACACAAAGTCTGGAGATAGATGATCAGATATATCACAGATTTTTCTGTCAGTCTCCATCCTGACTTTGACCCTTTTTTTTTTTTCATTTTTTCCCCATTTATTTTTATTAGTTGGAGGCTACCTACTTTACAATATTGTAGTGGTTTTTGCCATACATTGACATGAATCAGCCTTGGATTTACATGTATTCCCCATTCCAATCCCCCCTCTCACCTCCCTCCCCACCTCATCCCTCTGGGTCTTCCCAGTGCACCAGCCCCGAACACTTGTCTCATGCATCCAACTTGGGCTGGTGATCTGTTTCACCCTTGATAATATACATCTTTCAATGCCGTTCTCTCAAAACATCCCACCCTTGCCATAAAGACCAATACAGTATACTAGCGCATATATATGTATGGAATTTAGAAAGATGGTAACAATAACCCTATATGACTTTGACCCTTTAAGTCAACCTAATATACCTACCCACCATAAGCTCAATGCCACAGATTTTTACAGTGACTCTTGGTTAATAGTTTCTGAATTTGATTTGTTGTGGTAACTTAGTTTCCCTTCTCTTCAGTTCTCTTAGGTATTTTTGTCATTTTCCTTCTTACTGGAACCCAAAGGTCTGTCAAATATCATTGTTTCCCATACTTGATCATCAAATGCCTTTAAGGATTTTAGTTCACATTCAATTGGTGGTTGTTTCTACTACCGCACACTTAGAATAGCATAATCCATTCTAATTACAGTTCCTTGAAACTTAGTCTTAATATCATCTAGAAAGGCAAAGACCAGTTCACAGAGGTTTGAATGAGATGCTGAGGTTTGAATTTATTCTATGGGACTTACAATGAAGCTAATGGGGAGATAGTGACTATTTTAAGCAGGAGAGTGATATGATCACATGTGAGTATTTAAGAGACAATTTCTTACAGCATGAAAGATGAGCTGGAGGTAGGTAAACCTGAAGACAATGAGGTTAATTCATGTATTCATACAGATAAGAAAAGAGTCTAAAATAAAAATAGTGGTATTATGAGTGAAAAAGGGGGAAATAGGAGCCATACTAAGGAGATTCTACTGGAATTAATGAACAATTAGATACAAAGCATGAGGAAGAGAAAGGAATCTAGGGCAAGGTTCTGGCCTGTTGTTGTAGTTTAGTCACTCAGTGTCCAACTCTTTGCAACCCGATGGACTGCAAGGTGTCAGGCTTCCCTATCCTTCAGTATCTCCTAGTGTTTGCTCAAACTCACATCCATTGAGTTGGTGATGCCATTTAATCATCATCCTCTGTCGCTCCCTTCTCCTTCTGCCCTCAATCTTTTCCAGCACCAGAATCTTTTCCAGTGAGTTGGCTCTTCACATCAGGTGGCCAAATTATTGGAGCTTCAGGTTCAGCATCAGTCCTTCCAATGAATATTCAGTGTTGATTTCCTTTAGAATTGACTGGTATGATCACTTTGTAATCCAAGGGACTCTCAGCATTTCAAAAGCATCAATTCCTCGGTGGTCAGCCTTCTTTATGTTCCAACTCTCACATCCATAACATGACTATGGGAAGAAACACAGCTTTGACTATATGGACTTTTGTCATCAAAGTGATGTCTCTGCTTTATAACATGCTGTTTAGGTTTGTCATAGCTTTCCTTCAAAGAAGCAAAATGTCTTTTAATTTCATGGCTGCAGTCACTATCCACAGTGATTTTGGAGTCCAAGAAAATAAAATCTATCATTATTTTCAATTTTTCCACATCTATTTGCCATGAAGTGATGAGACTGGATGCCATGATCTTAGTTTTCTGAATGTTGAGTTTTAAGCCAGCTTTTTCACTCTCCTCTTTCACCCTCATCAAGAGGCTCTTCAGTTCCTCTTAGCTTTCTGCCATTAGAATGGTACCATCTGCATATCTGAGGTGGTTGACATTTCTCCTGGCAATCATGAGTCCAGCTTGTGATTCATCCAGCCTGGCATTTCTCATTATGTACACTGCATAAGAGTTAAATATGCAGGTGACAATACACAACCTTGAAATAATCCTTTTCCAATTTTGAACCAGCCTGTTGTTCCATGTCTAGTTCTAGTTGTTGCTTCTTGACCTGCATACAGGTTTTTCAGGAGGCAGGTAGGGTGGTCTAGTATTCCAATCTCTTTTAAAAGTTTCCACAGTTTGTTGTGATCCACACAGTTAAAAGCTGTAGCATAGTCATTGAAGCAGAAATAGATGTTTTTCTGGAGTTCCCTTGCTTTTTCTACAATCCAACAGATGTTGGCAATTTGATCTCTGGTTCCTCTGCCTTTTCTGGCTTGTGAGAAAAGATAAAAGGCCAATGACTGGATAATATAGGAAATAACATAGGCTTTGAGTAAAGTTCTAGGTTCAATGTTAGATTCATAAAGCTTGAAACATGTGAATGAACCTACATGTAAGAAATTGTATGTATGGGTGATAAAACTCTGGAATGTGACCTGAGTTAGAGATACAGGATTGGCAGTCACTGCATGTTGGCTAGAGTCATGAGAGAAAATTAAATTACTTTGAGGGAAGATTTCATATGAAAAAAGGTTTGAGCACTGAGTGCAAATGAACAACACATACAGGGCTGGCAGAGAAAGTAAAACTTACAAAGAAGACATCAGAAAATTAGCCAGAGTGGTAAGAGCTACAGCAGTATCAGAAAATAAAGTAAGGTCACAGAAAGAGAGTGGGGAGAGTAAAGTTTCAAGGCAAGGGCAATAATCCTTAAAGATTCATAAATTTCTATATATCTGAGTCTCTTTTTCTGTTTTGCATATAGGGTTATCATTACAACCTTTCTAAATTCCATATATATGTGTTAGTATACTGTAATGGTCTTTATCTTTCTGGCTTACTTCACTCTGTATAATGGGCTCCAGTTTCATCCATCTCATTAGAACTGATTCAAATGAATTCTTTTTAATGGCTGAGTAATATTCCAGACTTGTGGACTCTGTGGGAGAAGGCGAGGGTGGGATGTTTCAAGAGAACAGCATCGAAACATGTATATTATCTAGGGTGAAACATGATCACCAGCCCAGGTTGGGTGCATGAGACAAGTGCTTGGGCCTGGTGCACTGGGAAGACCCAGAGGGATCGGGTGGAGAGGAAGGTAGGAGGGGGGACCGGGATGGGGAAATACATGTAAATCCATGGCTAATTCATTTCAATGTATGACAAAAACCACTGCAATGTTGTAAAGTAATTAGCCTCTAACTAATAAAAATAAATGGAAAAAAAAAGAAGAAAAAAAGATTCATAAATTTCACTTGAGGAATTTCTAAACATTAAAATTT